TAATAATAATTTATAATAATATGTAAAGTTTTGAATCTTTTAAAATTAGGTATTAATTTGTAACGGTTAGGTGATATTGTTATTAAGTAAAACTATATTTACTAATCATAAATGGAAAAGCTTACTACAATTCAGCGACCCCAAGTATTTTAAAGAGAATGTTGAATTTTTTTTATGCATATAGAAACGTGCCGATTTTTTTAAAGAACGGACATATATACACGACGTTATCAGAAAATAAGTGGTTATCTATAGTAAATTTTAAGACATTGCCTAAAATTCAATACATTATTACATTATTTAGTATATTTTCTCAATTTTAAGATTACCGTGTAGTTAAAAAAAAAGTTATTAAAAAAAGGGCTCACATTATATTCAAGTATTTTTTACAGATTTGTTCCCCGTAGAAATAATTTCCAAATTAATAACAAGTCTTTCAAGATAGTTGCTCATAAACACACTCAACTCCTTGTTAAAAAATGTTTTTTCTGCGATATTTTAAACTAAAAGTAATATTTGTTTCAAATCAGATTAATTAAACTCTAAATCAGCTAATCTTCCTAAAATAAAATCTCAGAAAAGATACATAATTATAACAGATACATAATTATACGTTTATCTCCCCTTTCTCTTACTATATATATATATATATATATATATATATATATATATATATATAATTCCATCAATAAAAATTACTTCAGCCCAATGAAGTCTTCCTCCTAGAACAAGAAACGCGTTACAGAGATTTTTTCCACATTCTCATTCAATTGCCTAATATACATAAAGTGTACGATGAATAAATTGTCGTTTAAATTACGCAAAAATAAAAATAACACTGACATCTCATTCTAACAGATATATTTACCAAAATTACGCAAAAATATATATTGAAATATTAAAGAGTAAATTTATTCAATAAAAGACGCCATTTGCTTCAACAACGGCCTCAGGACGACTTCGGCATCTTCTGTCACGCTTCTGGGTTATCTGCTTCTTTAAGTTGGTGAATGCTGAAATAATCCTTGTCTTCAGTTCGTCTTTGGTGTTATAAGCAGATCTGTTGGTCGCTTGCTCCACTGTGCCTCACACATAATAATCAAGGGTGTTGCAGTCTGGTTAGTTAGGTGTCCAGATGTAAGGAGTGTTGTGGTTGCAGAAAATGTCAGACATGGTGCAGAGTCCTGTTGCCAGACATAAGGTCTTACAACAGCCACCCTCTTAACTCGTAACTACATCCTAAAGGGAACGCTGTAGGCCGCCGTGTTAAGCCTGAAGCCCTGTGGGAAGATGAATGGAGGCATAACGTCGCCATCACTAGTGATCACTCCAAACATCATGTTTCTGGATATTTGATTTTCATCATTCTGAGTATATCTTTTGGGGACACAACATCCTCCGCCCTTTCGGCAAGAATACCAAGCAGTACAGCATGACGTTTACAAATTTCTGAAAGGCTGAACTGCCTTCATGGTGGTCTTTTTTTTCACAGACGGTGCCTAACCGTCCCTACTATACCATGCAGTCGACAAAATCAAAAAGAAGCAACGCGCTAGCGTGAAGTTAAAAATATAACATGGCGACAATTTACCCATCGTACCCTATACATAGACTCATAGACACAAAGTTATACATACACGCACACACACACGCACATATATGTGTGTGTGTGTATGTGTGTAGTCCCCAAACTGCACATAGATATATGTGCATATATATATTATATTGTAAAAGAAAGAGGTTATAGTGGTTCCAACGAGAGAAAAGTGTGTATATTAAAAAGAAGAGAGGTGCCGCAAACGTTTTTGGTTGTAATGTGGATTTTTTTTTTAAAATATTATGTTTTATTTTCCATAGTTTTACTAAACGTGTTTCTGGTCGCGCGACCGTCTTCAGATTTCCACATATTATTAAAAATAATTAATTTTTTTCCTTATGTTTTTCAATGTTAAATATTCTCGGTATGAGACATTCTCTGTTTTTGTGTTAGTAATCCGAATGTCTTTCTTGAATTGGCAATGAAGAGTTCTGCGCGAAGATTCATAAAACAATTAAGGTTGGTCTAAGAGAAATGATGAATTACTTATCGGCATTTTATCTTTTAATGTTTTACTGACCCCTATGTATTCTTGGATCTGTTTCCATTTTCGTGTGTTTCTGTCAGCATGCGGGTATATATGTGTGCGTATATTCCCCCTCCATACATATACTGTCTTACTACGAGGAATTAGTAAACTCATTTGTACACATACACACATACATAAACATACGCACACACACATCGTCCCACCACAAGGAATCAGTACATGCACACACACACATACATACACACACACACACATGCATACACACACATACACACACACATACATACATATACATATTATATTGTATATATATTGTATATTGACATTTGGAATATATCTGGAATATATTTGGGATATATTTGGGATATATATATATATTATATACATACACACACACAAATATATATATATATATATATATATATATATATATATATATATATATATATATATATATATATGCGTGTGTGTGTGTGTATGCATGTATATGTATGTATGTATCTATGTATGTATGCATATATATATACTATCGGGAAGAATATGCAAATATTATACATTGCATTGGACCCAGACTTTGTCAAGAGATTGTGGAACAAAATTGTAAATACGTTGCTCCATAAATTTAATGCCATATTTTTAAACATTTTTCTGATATTTTTATTTACCTTTATTTAATAAACCGAAGACACGTTATCTATAATAAATGCTTAATACCCTTCTTGTTGGCTGTTTCTAGTCCCTTGTTGGCATTTAATGCTCTCTCTATAAATATTGAATTGTGTATAACTTTCAGAAAAGTCTATAACATATCAAAAATTCGTAAAATATCTTAATCTTTCTTTCATAACATTTGCACTTATAGAAAGAAGAGCTTGAACTGTCTGAACAATGTTGGCAATTCAATATATATAGACAATGGACAAGAAAATGGTAACTGCTCTCGAAAACGACCCCCAATCAATGGTTAACTGGAGCAAGGAGTTGCTTGTAAATTTTAACACCTCCAAAATAAAACTGCTTTCATTGAATCACCACAGAGAACCTTTTCTGTCTGCCATCAGCCTGTTTGACGCTACACTACAGGAGAGTAATACACTGGGCCTTCTTGATCTCACGTTTTCAACTGACTTGAAGCTTGAAGCGAAAGGAAGCATATATCGAATCAGTAGTTGCATCTTCTACAAATAAAGTTGGGACACTGTGTCATATTGGAATGGCTTGTAAATTTTAACGTCTCCAAAACAAAACTGTTTTTATTTAATCACCACAGAGAAACTTTTCTGTCTGACATCGCATGCCTGATGCTAAACTCTAGAACAACTCTTTGTCCGTTCTAATGTGTAAATGTTATCTTCTTGTCTAAACTAAATTCTTCTTTAAGTTGGTTACTTCTTATTTGGATTTTCGTGTTTTATTGATAATATTTAATAAAAAATAAGTTTTATTTTTATTGATTGATTCACTTTTTTACGACTTATCAACCCTTTGAAATTTATTCAAAGCCAGAAAATATTTTTAGATTGTAAGATCGGTGGCATCTGCGTGCGTCATGTTGTTAAGATAATCTGAAAATCAAGTGTTTTAATATAATGATAAAAAAATGTTTCGCTTAACTTACGTTCAACACAAGTGGTCCCCATGAAACCTTCTGTGCAGACACATCTGAACTTTTCTCCATCATTGAAACATTTGCCTCCATTCATGCAGGGGTGAAGTCCACATGGATTTGCTGTTGAAAAATGTTTAAGTATTTTTTTATTTGATACATACTTTCTCGGAAAATAATGAGAGCCATTTTGCCAATGCATATTATGTACTCAAACGTTTTAAACACATTTATCAATTCTAGGAGGGGATTATATAATCCCGGCCATTGGGGATGTTGATGATGATTCAGTTTTATTTCAATATAACTTTTATTTTGCTTACGAGATGTTTAAAAATAAGAATTTAAAAATATCGTATGGAAATCACATGGAAAGACGGAAAGAACACATCAGAAAATATACTATTTGGTTTCAGTGAAAGAAAGAAAGAAAGAAAGAAAGAAAGAAAGAAGCGTTTAACGTCTCCTGACAGTACCACATAAATAATGGATTATACCGTGTTGATCTCGGGAATAAACGAAAAAGACATATCAGAGATGCTACATAGTTTCAGTGAGAAAATGAAAGGAAGGAAGGAAAGATAGAAGTTTTTAACGCCTGTTGTAGTGAAATGGAAAATGTCAAATCTTTTGATTTGTACCCACTTCTTTAAATAACAACCAGCATTCATGTTTATGATTGTTATTGCAATATTTTTAAATTTTTTAAACTCAAATATTTAGCGATTGGATACAGAAATTTCTATGGATATTTTATTGTGGTGGAACTCGCCATGAGCTTATTCAATTATTAACTTAAGAATTAAGATTCATCAGAATATTAAAATAGAAACATTTTTACGGCTATTTCTAGTAAAGAATAAAGCCATATTTTATACATTCACCAACTTTCAGACATTTTTAAAAGTAAATTGTCCTGATATTATTTGTATTCCAACCTTTAAATTGTTATAATCAAATTGTTACAATCTCAACGTTTCGACTGTTGTATTCTCCTGCCTTTGCGCGGTTTCTATCAAACTGCATAACCCTAAGGGAATTTCGAACCGATCCCTTTTATTTAGATAAAATATTTAGATATATTTAGATACATTGTTCCCTTTTCGCTGTTCATATCTAATGATATCCAATTTGTTCCTTTTAGTACTGCTCAGTTATTGCGCCAACTGTTTCCACTGAATTTGTGGCTGTACTACCCGACCCATAGATTAAATTCACAATAAATTATTCAAGCAAATTCAGGAACCAGCATATAAATCCACGACTCTATGGCCCTGCAGGCCAATCCAGAACCGAGAACTTGTAGCCTAAATCAACAGCGAGGTCAGAAAAGCTTCGCAGCACGGCTTCAACAGCAGCATTAAGAAAAGATAAGTGACAGAGAAGCAGATGAAATGTAAATGTAGTAAGAGATGCAGTAGGCAGCCAATAAGAATATTAAGTTTCCTACTCCGTTCTAGGCTCGGGGCTGTCCCACGGGACAATGGCCCACTGGTTTAATTTACTAATTTACGTTGTTTCGTGAACTTGGTGACTTGTTAATTGATACCCAACTCTATTAGTACAGACGAAGATTAACTGGAAACAGGATGAGCAATTCTTGTACATTACTAAAAGAAGAACGGGCTTACAACCACATCACGTTGAAAACCCGATCCCCGTCTGATCATAGAAGTTAAGCAACATCGGGTTGTGTCTGTATATAGATGGGTGACCGTTTGAAAATACCAGGTGCTTTAAACTTGGATGTGTGGGTGGTGCAATAGACAATGGCTCGGAATCGTTTCAATTCCTGATTGATAATGGCATAAATCCACCTCTTCTCACCCAGCTATGGGTTAATTAGTAATACTTTTATCGCTAAAAAAAACATTATTATCTCTCCCACAAATTCTTATAATCTGAAAATATTATTTGGCTTTAAATAACCTGAATAGGGTTGATAAGTCGTAAAAAACGAATCAATTACTCGATAAAATGAGAACAGTGAAATATCTCCTAGATATGGAAAGCGAAAAAGGGACAATCTACCGGTTCGAAATTCCCTGAATATTATACGGATCGAAAGGAACCTGAAAAGGGTAGAATGGTCGAAACAAGAAGGATGTAAGCATTAATCCGAATGTAAATTACAATAACTCCTCAATCCAGAAATTCAAAACATAAAGTATCCTTTAAAGTTCTCAAATCATATTTACGTTCAACACAGGTTGGTCCCATGAAGTCAGCTGTACAAACACATCTGAATTTATTTTCTTCATTGAAACACTGGGCGCCATTTTTACAAGGTTTAAGTCCACACGGGTTCACTGAAGAATTAAAAATGGAGATTTTATCATTGTGTATAAAGTTAAACTTTATAAATATTCGTACAAAATTGAAATGCAGAAGGAAAAAGGAATAATACGGAATTATTTTACGAATTCAATTTACATTCAATTCAAGTTTTTTTTTTTCCACATAAATCCAGGCTTACCTTCAATGCAAGTTTTTCCCATAAATTCAGGCGTGCATGTGCAGATAAATTCTTTTCCGTCATTTGTGCATTCGGCACCATTTTTGCATGGTTTCAGTCCACAAGGATTGGCTACGAATATACAAGTACGATAATTATTTTTTTTAAATGATTTAGTTAAATAGTCTGAAAAGTATGTTGTTTGCATTTTGCTCGATAATTTGTAGTAACAAATTAAAACAATTGTTTTGTTTTTTCGTTTTTTTTTTTTTTTACAAAACTGGAATCATTTTTATGCCCTGATTTACTCGGACATGCGTCTTTATTATGATTGCTATGGTCGTTGTTTTAGGAAGTTGGTAACCTTCTAATAATTTTGAATGAACTCTTTCTTCAGCGCGCCGGTGGCGGGGAGATATTTTTCTCACCCCCTTATCATACGTCTTCCTTGATTTCAACTTATCGAACCAGCAGTAGAGCACCGTTTTGTTAGAAATCTATAGCGGCAATTGTCGTATGTCAATCGTTTACTTTGCATTTATGCCCTTTAGAAATACATTAATCCATTTATTCACCTTATCTCCAGCTATGGGTTAAATAGCAGGATAGACTGGGCTCTCTAGTCTTCGGCCGTAACCATTCTACGACAAGGACTACATTGAATTTATAACCGTGGAGAAAACAACGAAAAACCCCCTCCACCATAATTCCAAAAAACTCTCTACATGCTTCTTCCTTACCAGTTAACTCTGATCTTCAAAAATTCAAATGCAATGTCAATCGTCATCTTCTGCCTTCTTAATTCATGTTTTTTTTTATTGTCCTCTCTACTTAAAAGTATATTTTCTTATGTTCTCTCATGCTCCGTCGCTTTATGCTTTGTTGCCTTGCTTGAGAAGTATTTATGTACAAGAACAAAAACGTTATTGATTTTTCAAAATTTTTGGTATAGGAGTTCTCATGAATATTCATCAGGTTGGCGGAAAGGTCAAAAAAAAAATTTAAATTTAAAATGAAAACAGTTAGATCTATAACTTTATCTTATTTAAAACATATAATACATAAATCAACCCCTATCTAAATAACTAAAATACTAATATATATATATATATAGAGAGAGATAATATTAGTGGAAAATATACATACATATGAAAAATAAAAATTCTCTCTGTTTAGGTTTCATCTCACTCCTCCTCATACTTACCCTTTCTCTAAATTCTGTTTTGATTTCCGGAGTTGTTTTTTTCTGTTTTCGTTTTGAATTTGTAGGTCTGATGATTTGGATCGTATTTACGATTCCAATGGAATAAATTATGACCATGGAATATTAGTGTTTAAGCCTTTTTATATTATATATATATATATATATATATATATATATATATATATATAAATATATTTGGTTGGATAGATGTGAGTTTGTGAGCCTGGGTTTCACGCTTTAGCGATCGTCAGACAAACTGATTAATGTTTTAAAAAATTTGGGTTTATGTAGATTGCGTATATTGGTGTTATTGTGGAAGTGGTGGGGGAAATTTCGTCGTTTTGTCATTCATCGTACTAACGCAAACATCGATGTATGCAGACACATATACATACTTGGTCGTCCGTCGGGACTCATACATATATAAACATATGTGGGCAGTTTCGGCTATGAAACATGTATGTATACGGGTGGTGTTATATCTGTACATACGCATTTGTATGTTGAAATGTATCTATCCATCTATCCAACCAAATATGTTAGCTCTATCTCTGATATTGAGCGCTTTCTAATAAGTACCGCGCATATAATATATAAATAATTATACATACTTATATTTATTTATATTTATATACACTTTTCACATATATATATATATATATATATATATATATATATATATATATATATATATATATATATATATGTATGGATGGATGTATATATACACAAAAAATCTCTTACTCACTGTCATTTATTAAGCATTGAACTGTATCATCTCGCGTCCATGAACTTGCTTGACATTTTCTGCCAACCTGATGAATATTAATTAGCACTCCTGTACCCAAAATTTTGAAAACCTATAACATTTTTGCTCTTGTATATAAATATTTGTTGCAGTATAAAGTCCAAATTTGGCTTGATAAAGTCTCTCAATTGACGAAACGTGTTGACGAAAAGTTTTCCTGTTGTTTTTATTCACACACACACACTCATATGCACACACACAAACTTATATATATATATATATATATATATATATATATATATATATAGGCAGAAAATTATCTTTTAGGCATGTCTGATTAAGTAAATTAGCAACATTATTTTTAACTTATTTTTAACATAATCCGTTCATATCCACAGATATTATTTCGTGTATTACAGTGATGAAAGAAATGCACTGTAACAGAGAATATCACTTTTATTTCCGAAGTACTTTTCATGTCTTTCTGAGATAATCATCAGGGATGCAACTGGTAAGGCAAAAACTATGTGCAGCTATTCATTTCTTTTTGCGTTTAAATGCAACGGCTAACAGTTATGCTTTAGTGTTCATTAGAGTGTGAAAAATTATCCATTATAGATTTTTTCTTTTATGTTAGAATGTCATGGTCAAGTAAGCATTAAAGCGTGAAAAGTCTTCTTTTTATATGCATTTTAGAACATTATTACAGTATTCGTAGCTGTAGCTGATTCTGTTCAGTGTCAGCTTCATTTTTTAACGTAGATTGCTTCGAGGATCTGTAGTTTTAATTTGTTATTTTCTTGGTGTAGGATAGTTGTGTTATCAATCAGTATTTTTCTATAGTGTGAATGTGAACAGGAATATATATATATATATATATATATATATATATATATATATATATATATATATATATATATATAAGGTGTCCCAAAATAATGTCTACAGTCTTTGAATCGTTATAACTTATTCAGTTTATGCATTTTGACTTGTAAATAAGATTAATACAAGAGAAAGAATACGCATTTAAAGAATTTGAGAGTAAAATATTAAACAAAAACATAGAAAATTAACTGTAATAAGATAAATGCTACTTGGGTCAGTGGCAGAATGTTCATAAAATGATATCACATCAAGTGCTCAAACAGGTTGCCGTTCTGTTCAATACACTTTTCATAACTTGAAAACAAACGTCCAGTATCATTTCCTCTGGTATTTGAACACATTCTTCTTCAGTTGCTACTCTCATTTCAGCAATTGTTTCAGGTTTCCTGCTGTCAACTTTGTCTTTTAGAAACCCCCACAAAAAAAATCCAAGGGTTTCAAATCTGGTGATCTTGGTGAGTATTCAACTGTCCCTCTTCTTCCAATCCATCTTTTTTTCCATATTTTCATCCATATAAAAAATGTGTTATTAACTATTAATATTTAAAGAGTGTGTACATTACTTTGGGACACCCTGCATATATATATATATATATATATATATATATATATATATATATATATATATATATATATATATATATGTTTATATGAGTAAAGTGTTAAGTCCCATAATACCTTTCGAATCTACTTACGTATTTGACAATTCCTTCCTTCATAACCCGCTTTACATGTACAGATGTAGTTATCATCCTTATTTGTACATATGGCGCCATTTTTGCATGGTTTCTTTGCGCAGTAATCGACTGAAGAAATAAAAGAGAACAGATTAAAAAAATAAATAACTGTAAAAGAATTGTAAGGACACATTTTCAAACATCATGTCATATTCAATGTCAAGGAAACTGCAACACGGAACCTACGATTTTGACACTTTTATCCAATTGGCCCAACTTGGTGTGCCAGAGTATGTCAGCTTTTGGCTTAAAATTTGGGGGTTGGCCACGTGCCTGCTGTATAACACTTTACTGGCGCAAACCACGCCCTACTCTCAGACATGGTAAGCTCTCCAAAATCCAAGCCTAGATAACTTGACAAACTCATAGTTTACAAAATTTATCAAACCGAATAAATCCAAGTATAAAGTAACTCTAGATCTTCTAATGGAATTATTCCTGGGAATCAGACAGAATATTGGATGGTCTTGGGGGATTTAAGATATATATAAAATTTCATGGGATGTGGGTGTTGAATTTCAATCTGACGCTCAATGTCTTTTCATATCTACCTATTAAACCTCTCTCATAATGACTTACTTAATTCTCCACCCCTTTCACTTGCCTCTCTCTTTTGTATTACTACGACTGTTCTTAAGAAAGTTAGTGCTGTCTTTTTCGCAATCTTTAAACAAGGTTGTTTTCCAAGAAAGGTTGCTTTACCAAAGACTGAGAACATATTCCACCCTACTATTTAACTCAGGACAATGATTAGAGAAACTGATTTATACCTGGTCTGTGTTTATATTATTGGTCTGTGTGGTTAAAGTTCTTCATTTCCCAAGAGATCACCTTTCCTACCTATCCATGTTTATTGTTACATTCTTTCTAATTTGATACATTCCCCGGTTACCGTCACATGTTATTTTTATTTGCACCAATAAGGATCGATGTAGTATTCTATAACGAGCTTGGGGGTCTAAAACGTTTGATCTGGGTCCCAAGTATAGAAAACTAACTTCTGTATATATGAAACTGGCTTTATTGAAATCTGTATACTTACTGACAGAGCATGTCTTTCCTTCAAATCCAAGTTTACAAATGCACTCAAAATCGAAATGTCCTTTGTTGATGCATTTGGCGCCATTTTCACAAGGGTGCTTTTGACATGGTTGTACTATTTTCACAACTGCGAAAATAAAATCAGTTTATTCAAATACAATCAGCCATTAAGAATACACATTGCTAGCTCTATTATAAAACAATCTATTGCACTTTTTCTTATCACTGATATTCTTAAAATCAATACTTAAATAATTTAAGCTCTAAATATTAGGAATGGATGTAATCAAGTATTATACATTCATTTTCAACATTCATCATATCATGCAATTTAAATGCACTAATATAGCCAAAGAAATCCGAAAATACATTAGGATAGCGAAAGATGCTTTTCAAAAGCTAAGCAAAGTAGTAAGAAACAAAAAAAAACATTCGTTAGAAACAAAGAAAAGAGTACTGGGCTATTATGTAATATCAGACCCTCTCTAAGCCAGTGAATGCTAGATAATCTCACAGATGAAAGGAGACTTGAAGCAATAGAAATCTGGTTCTACAGAAAGATGCCTAGAATACCATGGGCTGAACATGGGAGGAACGACAAAGTTTTAGAGAAAATGGAAACAAAAAGGACACGTATACTACTCGTATAAGGGTCTAAGCAGTTCTAAGCTTCATTGTAGGGTATCACCCTCATTCCCTTCGTATTCCGTTAGTTCCGCACGAACAGCTTCCTCCCACGAACCGCTACTTTGTGTAACCAACTCTTAAGTGAATGCCTCCTCTATCAATACATCTTAACCTGTTAAAATCTAGGATTAACCGTTATCTTCGACATTATAGCCTCATAAACTGTGCCTTTACCTATTATTCTGTAACTATCTATCCCGGCCTTGTACATGACGAACATTATTGTAAAATAAGATTAATACGAAATAAAGATGAATTATCTCGAACTCGGCTTATTGATTCCATTTCACATATCAATAACAATTTGGCCAGGGTTTTTTTTTTTAAATATAAATACTTACATAGTTGTCTGTAATTAGGTTACCTGCGGTTTATACAGCGTCACGTAAAAGAGGTGCTTTAACTCTAAATTGAACTTAGCTAGCTGTTGTGACATTGGATGACTAAACAGTTTATCCCATGTACATCCTTGTATCAAGTTATTCTGATGGAATACTTTTCATTCTCCAGGACCCAGATTTCATGCGGACCACTTGTGTTGAACAAAGTTTATGGAAACATTATTATCATTATATCAAAACACTTGATTTTCAGATTATCTTAACAACATGACGCACGCAGATGCCACCGTGATGATGACAGACACAGAAGGAAAACTGTAATAATTACTAGATTCAGTATTAAAGGAAAGCGAGAAGAAAGGACTAAGCATTGTAAGACAACAGAATATAGGATCGTCAGCAAGATGCAAGTTATGAATTGGAAACATCAGAATCAAGCAAGTAGAGAATCTTGCTTATCTGATTGTTTTTATGAATAAACAAAAGCATATAGAGTCCTCTGTAATTAGTTTACCTGAGGTTTATACAGCGTCATGTAAAAGATGTACTTTAACTCTAAATTGAACTTTGGCGACCTGTTGTGATATTGGATGTCAATATTGCTTATCATATGTACATCCTTGTATCATGTTATTCTTATGGACTAATTTAATAAATAATAAATACAAATAATAGTTTATTATATTCTTAAATTATTTAAAGCAAAACTTGTTTGTTTATATTACATTTATCACAGTTATATCTTCCAAACAAGTCCTTATCTTAAAATTTCAAACATAAGTCTTTTTCCTTCAGTTATACTTTCAAAATTTCCCTTCATAAAATCCATGAAATTTTTAACATTCCATCTAAAAACCTGACTGGGAAAAAAGGGTTTTACACTTTTGTCTCCGCAAAAGAAATATTAAAAAAACAGGAGAAATTAATTTTATATGATTTTTTCCTCATCAATCAACATACTATCAAATACCGATGGAGAATGGTATCATCCGAAGATGTCATTTAAGTCAAAAAAATTGATGATGGAAATAGTTTTTTTTTTGTTTTGTTTCTTAACCAAGCAGTACTCAGTAAACAAGTACAACAATTTAAATATCTGGCAAGTGTTTTAACGGAGAGCTGAAAGTGCGACACTGAAAACCTAAGGCGTATTAGGATAGCGAAAGATTGCTTCCGAAAGATAAGAAAGTATTAAGAAACAAAAAAATTCGTTAGGAACAAAGATTATTGAACTCTTACGTAATGTCAGTCTTCCTCTATGGCAGTGAATGCAGGACAATCTCTTCACAGATGAAGAAAACACTTGAATCAGCATAAATGTGACTGAGAACACTATAGACCAAACATATGAGCAACAACGAAATTTTAGAGAAAAAGAAAGTTAACACCGGGAAGAGAGAGTTGAAATTTCTAGGGCACATAACGAGGAGAGAGGGCTTGGAAAACTCGACACTCACAGGACAGATTGAAGGGAAGATGATAGCTCGAATAAATGGATGGAAGAACAATGTTTAGGAGAGATAACAAAAAGACAAAATTTATCAAGTGCTACAAAGGACAGGAAACTGTGGAGAGCCGTAATCGAAAGGATCATGACACATAAAAGAAAAAGGATATTCAGCAGTTCTGTATGAAGAGGTTTGTTATGCGAAGGTACGAAGTTAAATCAATAATTCCGTAACCTAATCATGAAAAAAGTATTTATTTTACAAAAAAAAAAAAATTTTTTTAATATAATCTTTTTTTTTTCTTTTTTAGTACACTTCATTCAGTGCTTGGTAATGGTAATATTAACCATTTCCCTATAAGTAAAAAATTGGCATTCATTTGATGAATAGCCGGTACTGCTGTCGGGTGAAATTTATAAACTATTTTTCTTAAAACTATTTTTCTTAAAACTATTTTTCAAGAAAATAAGTTTCTCAAGTCCAGTAGCTGTTATCGCTTTTTCCACTACTGATGGTCGTTTCCTTCCTAACCTTTTATTTTATGTAGTGTGGAAGTTAACATCATGATTATGTCATTGTTTTCTCTTCTAGTTACACGTGATATCCATTTTATCTCTCACTGCTGTTGAAAGTCCTCAAGTGATGTGGTTTCTGTTATTTGGTACAGTTCTTTGTTTGCGATTCTGCAGCGCCGGTCCGCAGGATTCGAAAAAGTTTGGCCTTCGCCTAGAGACCCAAAAGCTTCACTCTCTCAAAGCCATTTTTGACCATTGATCTTAGAAAGTGGTTTCATACAGGTGACAATTTAGATATTTCTGAACGGGTTTGACGCCATGCACATCATCCATATGAAAATCTCGATCTATTTCAGATCACGACTCGTGTTTTCAGGTGAAGAGATATATTCATACATTTTCCAAGGGTATTTGCTTAAGTGAACGTAACGTACTCTTGACTGGAATTCAGCTCTGCGATTTCTCATTCCGAGCCGTTATCCATCACAATACATCCAGTCTTATAATGCCGAGTATTCCCACGCTTACGACTATATCACGTTGAAACACCGGATCTCGTTCGATCACTAAACTCAGGAAACGTTGAACCTGGTCAGTTACTTCATTTTTCATTCAAATTTTACTAAACAACAGATCATATTTCCACACTTAATAAATATTTAAACTTATACTTACTGCGGCGTTTGCAATGGCCTGATTCCAATATATAACCAGAATTGCAAACACATTCATACTTGTCAACTTTTAAAATACATTTGCCATTTATACAAGGTTTGGTGACATTTTTTTCCAATTTTCCAGGATCAACACATTTCAATTTCAGTCGGCAATCCTTAGAAGTAATTTCCTCTCCCACCTGAAATTCAAGAGAAAGATTTCGTATAAAACACACGAATAAATACTTGAATTAATCGCATTGATCACTTAACGACTCGATCATAAAATGCAATCAGTTATAGTTGATTGCAGAAACATTTTTATATTTTATTTTAATCTAGTTTCGATGTGTTGAATCATTGACTGAATTTAATCGTATT